TATATATCTTTAAAATATAACACTATTTCAATCAGTACAATATTTAATATTAATTATTCCCCCAAAAATACTGAATTATAACAATAACAAAATCACACCTAAAAAAATAAAATAATAATCATCATTATTATGAAAAAACTGGATAACAAAACTGCCCGCTACTGCAAATATGCACAATCCAACCACATTTACTAAAACTGATAGAGTTTTTGTTTTAAAACACCACGAAGGATGATAAAAGTCACAAGTGTGTGAGTCAAAGAACTAATAATTTAAAATATAAGCCTACCGACAGTTAGAGGGGAAAAACAGATATAGGCAATATCTCACGAGACAAAATGGAACAGTTACAAAAAAAAGTATGACACTTGTAGGCATCAAAATACTTTCCAAATAAACAAAAGTAGGAGAGGGGAAGTCGGGTTTGAAACCTCTTTAAATTTTACGATAGCATTATGACGAAATGTCAAGCAACTAGTGACTGGTTGTTCATCAAGCAGAGCAACACGGAACGTGCTTCTCCTGGGTTTATTGACCGGGCCAGCTCGGCGCCATAACAGACAGATGGACACCCCCGCTTCAGTTCATTTCAACACCTCTATACGAGTGTGAAACGACTGGCCGTCTGCTCAGAGCCAGAAGGGCGTTAAATCTCTCAGTATATATGGAGTAATTCCCTTCTGGCTCCAAACAGACGTTGTGATGGTTTACCAGGAGACTCATAAATCCTGAGATGTGACATTCAAGAAGGAAAAGAGGAAGAGAAAATACAACTGGTACAATTAAAAGGGTCATAAATATAAGAAGGTGTAAATTCAAGTTCATGCTTCTGTTTCTCCTCCGAGTGGGTCCTGAATAAAGCCAGATAATTGAGAGAGATAAACATTCATAAGCGGTCCATTATAATGTGAAATCCATCGTGACCTTTGAGAATGTTTGCTTGTATCTTACATGTAATTGATTTGATTTATTCTTGTCTTATTGGTCGATTATATAACATTCAAAACAGTCAATATAACAAATATTGAAATGGACATAGCGTAATCGGGGAAAGCTGATAATTAGCATAATTTCCAATAGACTTTTCATTTATTAATCGAGAATATTTGTGACATTGATTATCCTATAGAACTCTGTGGTCCCGTTTATTAAAAATATTAAATAGCAAAAGACATAGTGAATTCTTGATTTTTTAGCATCAGATCTTCTTCCTCAATTATGTTTGGATAAAATTTAACATGCTTTATCTGTATCTTCGGTGTTGTCTAAGTCTCTCCGATGGGTACAGAAATGATTAGACTAACAAATAACAAGTTATTACCCATAAAGTTGGAATATCTGTCTACCTATTTTCATGAAGTGACTGCGAGAATAAACTTCTTCTTATAGTTATATATAAAGTTTAAATCTTCTCAGAACTTTGTTGATTAATCTATACAATTCTGAGAATATATGAAGTTTATCTATCGAGATGTAAGAATATCTGTTCTAACTTGGTGGGCAACTGTGTAGTTTCAGAGTAATTTTCAATGAAAATTTAAAAAAAATTGCGACATGGGCTGATGTTTTTTTCAGCAATACTAAATATTGATCAGAACGGATAAAGAGAAAAAGAGGAAGTTGGCGAGATGAATTAGAAACTAAATATTATGTTTATATTTGTAAGATGAAAAAGCTATTAAAAGAAAAAAGAAAACGTGAAATAAATGGGGTTCTTTGTATAGTAAGTTATTTGACAATTTATTGAAAGATTTCTTACTCCATGTGACTGCCCTAGTGAACAGTTTACAGATCTAGATATACTTCCTTCAAAAGAACCCGCTTGTTCATGCCTATAATAAGACGTTTAGAGAAAGGCTCGTGGAAACATGATGATGATGATGATGATGATAATGATATGAAATTTAATTAAATGTAACACGTACTGACTCTTAGTTTTCATTGTGCGTGGGGTGTGGGTGTACAAGCGCGTGCGTGTGTGTGTGTGTGTTTTTGTGTGCGTGTGTATATACACCACAAAATGAGTTGAGAAATAAGTTATAAAAAAGCGGGAAAAAGGAGTACTCAATATTGGAACAGTTTGTGAGCAAAGCCGGGAAAAAGAAAAGAAACCTCTTTATCATATGCATCTTGCCCATGGCACATAACAGGCATAGTTCTGAAAGAGAGTTTCAAACTACAATATATTTTTTATTTACAAAAAAAATCAGCATCAGTCTCAGAATTGAACTTAGAATATGGCAGCAAAGGTGAAGCAATAAGATGGAGAATGGTATAACATTTCAAAGGGTCTAACCGATCGACGGCGTCAATTCTCAAATAGCGTCATTTAACCTGTCAGTCTGAACTAATGACGCTATATTAATCCGGTCTTGATTTACACAGTGGATGCACCAACGGTGAAGCACATGAGTAGTAGGTCGTTAAACATCGTGATACCGGGAGGATGGAAGCGAGTTTAGCGGTGCGAGGCACGCCTCAATCTGATAAAGAAGCGGGATTGTTGATGTTCCGTTCCCCTCGATATATTCCGATATTTGGATGAAATTGTCAGGCTGATTCGAACAAAGTATCCAAGGACTCTACTTCACGATGAAATATTGCTTCTGATCATGACTTATTTGTAGATCTTAGTCCGTCGGGACCTTTAAAAGTAAAGAAGGTCGTAAAAGCAATTTCATTAGATATATGAAGACCGCATGAGACCCTTCGGAAACGCATTATCATATTAACTATTCGCAATCATCATAATTATTATCATTAATTACTCGTTATTATCCTTCTATTCCACCAGTGTATTGTATTTATTGATTCAACCATAAAATAACATCAAATGAAAACAATAAAAGTATATCAATTTAAAACAGTAAATAAAATTATGGTTAGGAACATCGAAAAGCATAATGCTTGTAACATGGTATCCCGAAAGAAGAAAAAACGTGAAAAACAGTTAAAGATTGAAAATAAACAAACAAAACTACATACATTATCACACATAAACACACCCTCACAAATACACTCACACACACATGCCTGGGACTTCAATTTTAAAATATAAAATAGGGGAGGGGGGTCACATATACATTATTTATCATATACATGCATATGCATTGCATACCATTCCGTTCCTTTCCTCGCTCTCTCTCTCTCTCTCTCTCTCTCTCTCGCTCTATCTTTCTTTCTTAGCCCTTTCCCACTCTCCTCTTATATCCCAATTAATATAATTGAATAGCTATAAATATATATATATATATATATATATATATATGTAGATATGAATGTGGGCTGTAATCATAGTTTGTTTTGGTGCCTCATTATATTAACATTTCCGTGGAATAGAGACTTTTGGCTGCCATGTGACTTTTAATGAATACTATATATTTCAATTTCTATGTAAATTCAACAACAATGGTACGACGGCACAATGCGCAGCGAACAAAAAAGAAGAATAAGAGTATGCCTTGTGAGACCAGTGTATCCCGACAAAATTGAGAAATGCTATCCGGGGTTGCCATTTTGTCCCTTCGGAGAACTTTAATTTTTAAAGAGCACCATGCAGTAATCATATACAACGACCTCTTTATGATTAGAAAGACGTTTCACTTTGTTTTGGTGAAAATGATTTGCGTTGCTACACGATTAGTTGTGCAGCTAGACAAAACATTACAATCTACAGGGGAGTAATATAACCATAGTTTACAATGTGCTGGAAGTCAAATGAGTTATCAAAACTACTTTGCAACTTTGTCATCACTTTTCTTGAGCCTAGAGCAGTATCAGAATCATTATAAATAAATCGTCACCTATCTAAATGTAACAGATGTGCGTTATTTTGTTTGAACCACAGTATCTTTAATGAAGTATAGTTCCATTGCGGCTTCAAGAAATATTTGTGAAAATGTTTACTTCCAGATCCAAAATGATTTGAAATTTCATAGAATTTGAAAAAATTCTCATTATTTCCTCACTTAAGATTATTTGTTGTTTACTGTACCATACATGATAATTTTTAAACCAACCCCAATATTCTGGAGAAGGGGAGATAGAGAGGAACAGTGTTATAATTATAACTGGTAAATGTAGAGTTTCTTTCCCATCGTTAATGAGCTTGAGTTATCATCAAATGCCTATTTGGTCAATCAGATTTTGCTATACTTTCATCTGAGACTGAATTCCATGTACAGGACTCGATGTTCCATTACAATGGTAGCACAGTGATTGTAGTAGATTAAAAAGCAGCCCTATATTCCAGCTCTGCATGTATTATCATCTTTTGAAATAAGCTGTTGATAGTAGTTATCCCGGATAGTTATTTGGATTTCAAGCACTCGGCTCGGCGCATTCCCTCCACTTTCAAATGTGTAATTTGAAAATGTTTATTGCTGCACTGGTATACTATTTTTGTTTAATACCCTAATAAATGTTTCATCACATAACAGTTGTTTTTTAATTGCAAGATGTCTTGGGAGTAGTCAACATTTTCATTGCTCTAGTGCGGGTCCGTGGTTAAAATCAAAAGGGGGAAGAAAAAAAACAGTGAAGGAATAAAAACATTTTTATTCTATTTGCTTTCACCAATGTTAGTGAAAACATAAATGTATGTGCTAACATTTATTTCATTGGTGTTAAATTTAAAGGGTTTTAAAAACACACATACTTTTTAATTGAATGATATAAACCATTTATATGCATAACCAACATGATTGTGCTTAAATTTTTACAAAAACTTAAAACAACGACTTTTAGAAAAATGGTATGTTGTTTTGTATATACAGATGCGTGAAAATGGGAGGGAATCAATATGATGTGAAATTATTTTCCTCTCTGTTTTATTTAGCTTAAAAGTTATTATTTTTAAGAACTGAGGCGTATGTCTCCTAAAAAACGACCTGATGAGCATCGTAGTGGTTTTCAACGTCAAAACGTTTTCAGTGAATTGATCATAAGGTGTATTTAATCTCATGTTTTGAATATTTCTCTTGATCTTTTTTGCTACCTAGAAATGGCCAATGCGATCCCGTCTCTACGCCGGAGCTTCAGCGGACCGTCTCTTAGATAGTTCGTCATAGCCATGAGCTTCTAGCCAAGTTCTTCCTATCTCCATTACACACCAAAGAAAAGACAGATAAGACTTCCTGATCTGGTTTCCCAAAGAGCGCCTTCCAAATATTCTCTTTATAGTTTGCATAATGTTATGATTATTAGAAATAAATCATGAGGTAGGCTCATGCATTTCTGTAAACTCTCAGTAAGCCTACCGATGAAAATTATTTCACTTGTTTTTCTAAGGCCTATACAAAGATATCAAGTGAGATTATTTCTTATTGTTTGTTTTCTCCTTTGATTTATATGTATAGAATAGTGGGCCTCAAAACTGATAAATATAATTATTGAATGTTGATTTTGAAAATTGAAAGTTTTAGTTGACAATACGCAAGTAGCCAAGTACAAATAAATGTTTAATCGAATTAAAAAATAGTAAATGTTCAAACTCGGCGTAATAATAATACTTTTCCTATTCCTATTAATGATTTAGTTTTCCTTCTACATTAGGATCATTATAATGTTTAGCACCAATTTACTTATTTACCATTCTTTTACTCATTTATTGGATATTCCGTTTAGTTGGACGGAACAAAATTAGGCATTGGTATATTTTTTTGTCGAACCTAGAGTTTTGTTGCAGAGTTCCTTGTAAATCTTCGGACAACGTTGGATTGTTTGGCATAAAATTGTCCAGGTTTTTGTTTTTGCTTTTATTATTAATATCATTATTATTGTTCTTCCTATTACTATAATTTTATTATTGTTATTATTGTAATTATTATGATCATTTTGAAGCGCAATGTTTTTAGGGCTTCAATATTACACTATGTAGGGCCATGCATCTCAGATTTAACATTGTTAAACGATGCCTTTAAAATGCTGACGACCATATAAGTTTATTGGCCAGCAATTGGATATCCGCCACCAAGTATGATCATTTTCGTGTCATTTTAACTTATGTTGTCTTATTTTTTCCTCATTATCTAATTTAGGTAGTGCTTTATGACTGACATCAGTCTTATTAAATTTGCAAACTAAACTAAAGTTACGATTGGTACTTGATAATATTCATGAATATTTATACACATGTTTCAGACCAAATGTTTTCATTAACAATGTACATGTAATACATGTACATTATATATACTATATAGAACTGGATTGTATTTAAATGAGGGCGGTAAACTGAAATAGTATTTGTTGAAATTGAAATCATACGGAAAGAGTGATTGTAAGCTGTTTGTTGTATAATAAAATGAAATAACAAATATTTGATTTTTGTTGTTGAGTGAAATAAAGATGAGTGCTGAAATATTGTAATGTTTATCCAGTCATTGATAATTTACTTCATATGTTCATTTTCACTTCTTTAAAATCAACTTTAATTTTTTTTCTTGGATTGACATTCCTTATTTTGTCATTTTTTCTTAGCTACTTTGTTCTTTCTTAAATGTTCTAACAACAAGGTTTTTTTTTTTCTTTTTTTTTTTCTCTTTCTTTAAAAAAAAAAATCTCCGCATCTCTCTCCTATTTCGCTGTTTCTCCCATTCTTTCTCATCCTGAAATGGTACCTCTCTCTCTCTCTCTCTCTCTCTCTCTCTCTCTCTCTCTCATATTTTCACAAGCTGCTGTCGCAGATGTTAATTAAACGATATACCTTGGAGGCAAAATTAATGGTCTTGTTCGTTTGGCGTCAGATACAGGGCTCCCTCTTGTGTTTCAAAATTGCCTGAGGGATAAGAATCTAGGTTTGGTCACCATGTCTACATCAGCTGGATAAGTCACGTGATTTGCTTTAGAACAAATGTCTAGTTTAATTAGGTTGCATGTCAGGTGACATCTTACATGTTTTTGAACTGCAGTTCTGAATATCCCCTCCGTTTCCAGTCTCTCTCAGCCACACACAATTCCCAGGGGCGTCCCAATTGGCGGACACCGTATAAGAAGCCGGGGGAGGGGAAGGAGGAGGGGGAGGGGGAGGGGGAGGGGGAAGGGGAGGGTTGTGCATGCTGTGAGCATCGTGGTTTGTCCAAATCTAGACGGAAAAGGGTTATGACTACAACCATTTATAATTTTTGAGGAATTACATTAATCGATATCCTAATGATAAGTCATGCTCATCATATCTAATTATATACTTAATAGGTAAAAACTTTTATTTTAAGTTTTCCTATCAGTTTGTCAGTGGGTGTACACAATTATTGTTATCCGAGATAACTAGAATCTTATAATATTAATGGTTTCTCTATACAAAAAAAAAGCTGTGAATTAACGCACCGATTCCATTCCAGTCACTGTATTTATAGAATTTTTCAAGTATGCTATAGAAAAGATTCGTCTCCCCCCTCCCCCTCCCCCCTCTCTCTCTCTCTATCTCTCTCTATCTCTCTCTCTCTCTCTCTCTTATTATTTATTCTCTCTCCGGTTTGTCCTTAAATGATTCGCTCTTGGTTGTGCAGTTTTTGCCATAAACTGAAACGAATCATATTAATTTTTTTTTTTCAAAAGCCGGCGTTGCAGAATGGTTTTAGACACCGGGTGACGGATCAAAGTAAGATCGTGCTCTTCACACTGATAAAAGCCAGGCCCCTGTTTCATAAAACTTGTCATCAGTGACAAATGCCAGTTTCTGTTATAAGCTACTGAAATCCTTGCTTCTGATTGGTTATCAGCAGATTTGTCATTGGTTTTAGTCATTTGTTATTGAAAAAAGGCTTTGTGAAACGGGTCCCAGGAGTGCTCACAAGCCTCTGATCTGAGTATTATTTTCTAGCTATCGTCAGTCGATGCCATCTCCATGTTTTTAGAGATAAAGGTTCGGGATCGTTTGATCAACATGACGCCAAATATTCGTGGTTACTGCAGGGTTACTGGATTCATGGTAGGGAAATGTACTTTACAAGTTAGTTTTGAAACTATATCTGAGTGCCTCGGGTAATACACAATAGGTGTGGCGCACTCCAGAGGACCTCACACAAGGTAGGGATCGAAGGTCATCATTTTAGTTATTCAGACTCCTTTGCAATCGAATCGTCTTTTGAAGCAACGTCTTCTTTTTCGATGCTTTTGATGGTTAAAATCATCTTATTCTAATATGGATGTTATCTTATTTTTTAACATCAAATGGACGTATATTTCTAGACTAGTAACTATGTATTACAGCAGTGAGTCTAGTGCATCTTTTTCTGAATAACATCCAAATCATTATTAGATGATATTGAGAAATACAGGTAAAAATATACGCATTCGATGAAATCTCCTCGCAATAGTACAATTAAACAAATTTAAAAAAAAAGGGGGGGGGGTCGAAGGTGTGGTTTCGATAGTAAATATCTCCTCTCCGCTAAAGATTTATATTGTTAAAGGAATTGAAAAACTTGTTTCATTGATTTTGTTTTCCCTGTTAATTTCATTTTACCAGCACTCATGTTCTCTAGTATGGCCTATCCTTCTTTCTTTCTCCTTCTCGCAATCTCCTCTCCTCCGTCATCGGTCATTCCTCTATTATTCTTAAGTTAATCTGGAGCCTGACTCTTCGGGTTCCTCTATAATGTTTCCCATTCGTCTTCTCATCTTCACCGTTCCCCTTCTCCTCGTCGTACTCTGTCCTTCATTTCGTACATCATGATGAAAACGTTCTACTTTCATTTATCTCGCAATGACTGTATGATAACCTCCTCGGGGCTGGCTAGAACAGAAACCCACCCCAGCCTAGCTGCCAGCGGCAGTGCCCCTGCGACTAGGTAGCTATCAGGTATCAAGATGAGGTCTTGTCAAAGGGTGTTGAATGGATCATATCAGGGCTTGCTATCCCTAATCATTGGGTTTGTCATACAATCAAAACCAGCCTAGGGCTAGGGCGCTATTGTTCAGAGCTACGTTATGATCATTGAACACTGGTAAGTTGAGAGAGAGAGAGAGAGAGAGAGAGAGAGAGAGAGACATACACACAGACAGTGAGAGAAAGAAATGTAGAGACAGAGAGACACATGAGAGAGAGAGAGAGAGAGAGAGAGAGAGAGAGAGAGAGAAGCACTATATACTGAAGGCATATTCTTGTTCTATTTCTAGATTTAAACTTGAAGAAAGAAGAAGAAATTGAAGAAGAAAAAGAAGTAGAAGAAGTTTTACAAACACTTTCTGCAGATTTCATAAAGATTGATACATTCTAACCTAGTTAATTTGTATATTACATCAAAAGTTGTGCTCTACTTGATAAATAAGATATTTCATACCATCAAATATTTCATGAAACTAGGACACAAGAGAAACATAGAAACCTGTAATAATTCATCAAAAATAATATAGTCATTTTATTAATTTCCAATGCTTCCATACATGATATTTTTGTAACAATAAACTTTTGTAACAATAAATATTTGTAATTACATAATTTGAGTTTGAAAAACAACAACCACAACCCTGCCACAAATATAATGTTTAACCACATCAAATATACACAGACGTGTAAATAGTACATTGAGTTGGGTGTATCACATGCACTACAACCAAATACAAGTACACTGTTTACCTTTACCTTAAAGGTAAAGACCAGTATTGAAAACGCCTCAATTTCAAAAAATGAAATGGAAGCTCTTATTACCAATCATGTGAAAGAATATGTTTTGAATAATACATGACGATACAAATGTTGACGGGAAACCGCCTACTAATTGATATATCTGGTAAATTAGTGTATCTCTCGCCTGTTGAGAAATAAAAATGCACGTGTCGCGCACGTTTGTGTAGTCTCATATACATCTTTCTGTGTACAGTGCTTCTAACTTTATGAAGACTTGGTCAAATTTCTTATCATTTTGATGATTCCAGAACCTTGCAGTACATCTATGCTAGATGATCAACCTTTTCTGATCGATTTCACGTTTCTTTCACAATGCAATCGCATGACCATAACTGGTCTTTAGCTTTAAACAAAGATTATCATGGTTGATACAAACAGGTAACCTGCAAATGACATAAACAAAGAACATGGTTTTACCCCACAAATGAAATGGATCTTGAATTTAAAAATGATAATAATAATTTGAGATAAATAGTAGTAGTAGACTTTACTGGATAACTTGTTTAGCACAGGGCTTATCTGCCACTAGGTCCAATGTGGTGGATAATGAGCTATTTTTTCTTCTCAAAAAGTCTATTGTTTCCCGAAGGAGTATGATTTATTTTACTAGAGTGAGTTATAAAGTTGGGGATAAGTGCATGCATTATTCGTCATTCACACATTGCATTCGTCCTTTGAATATTATGAATATACAAGAGATTGTACAATAATTGGCAATTCTATACAAAAATATGGTCAATTCTATAGTATAACCATCACCCAACACCCTATATACATTAAATATTTCATTATTGTTTTATAGTATGATAATACATAGCATAAACGTTTCTTAACTTGCCATACTCAGTATCTCTCATTCATATCATAAACCCATAGTATGTGCAGTATTTTCTTTGATACAAACCCCTCAAAAAAGTTTGAAACTCAAGTTTGATCCATCAGTTTACAGAGACCAATGGAAAACAACATATTTAGAGTTCATTTTCAAATAACCCAATGGAAACAATTTTGGTATTACAAGCAATTTCCACAGACCCTTGCCTGTGTGGAACTAGGTTTGGAAAACAGATTCACAATACATGTATTTCTTCCTTTGCAACTACATAGGTCTCATCAAGAGAGGGCAGTAGAATGAAAGTGTGATAGTGACAATGAGAGTTGGGTTACTAAAAGTTCACATAGGTATGTAGTTCAACAGTAATTAGATGGTCAATGCTTCATTCACACAACACAGTTAAAGAAAAGGTTGAGTTCTGGGAAGAGGTGAAAAATAATTTGAGAGCGTTATCATTGTATTATGCAAGTGTGGAAGAACATCAGATAAAAAATGTTCTCTGAAAAGCATGGCTCTTCAAATGCCTTAATATTCTAAATATGGCATGTAACTTCATAAAAATCGGGACAGATTTTTACGCCACATGTTTGTATAGTCCCATATACATATTTCTGTGTACAGTGCTCGTAACTTTACCAAGACTGGGCCAAATTTATTATCATTTTGATGATCCCAGAACCTTGCAGTACACACCAATACTTATATGCTAGATGATCAACCTTTTCTGATCGTTTCCACATTTCTTTCACAATGCAATCGCATGACTAGAACTCAACTTTATCTTTAATCACTTACAAATTGAAGTACTACAATTCTCCCAAAATACCTTATAATCTAAAATTAATTATATCAATAATCTTGAGAATAAGAAAACAATCAAAGAAGTGAATTACTTCACAAATAAATATGTTGTATCAAACTGAGTGCATTCACCATAAGAAAGTTATCATTTGTAATATGTCATATATAAAAATAGTATTGCGCATCAGAACTTCTCTTATTAAGACAAAATACAAACAGAGACAAAGTTAATCGCCTTACTCACACATGGCAATATAGACCAGCTAAGAACAAAAAAGCTGTGGCAAAATAAACCCCATATATATATATATATATATGCTTAGTGTGCATCACAAATCAATATTATCTATAAATACAATACACAAGCACACAGGCGGGAATCAAATATATCGTTTCACAAAAGCATCATTAGTTCAAGATCCTCGAAATCCCATTGAAACATGTGTTGATTTTAACAAATACACATGTTTCAATGGGATGTTGACAAACTTGTATTATGATGGTTTTATGAAACGCTCTCAGCTCCAGGAGACCAGGGGGGTGTTTCACAAAGACTAAGATCGACTTTAAGTTGAACTTAACTTACCCTAACCCTCATGCCACTGGTTGCTCTAACCATTCCTGGCATTGGTTTCTCAAGGGACGTTCAAAGCATGGTCACAAATCTTCAGAATTTACCTTGTTTGATAATTCATTGTTGAGGGAAAAAACATCATCTAAAGATCATAATTGAGAGACCAATGGTGAGAGCAACCAGTGGCGTGAACGGCCTGCCATAGTTAAGTCCAGCTTAAAGTCGATCTTAGTCTTTGTGAAACACCTCCCAGTTAGCTCTTCAGTCTGTGAAGCATGAATTCTAATGAAGCTCCTGAACCCGTGACATTCATTGGTCCTTGTCGTGTTTGGATGCATTATCTTTTGGTAGAAATGTTACCAACTACTCAACAATAATTGATCAGACAGAGCAAAAGTTACACATTAAACATTTTATGCAGCAATATGGAATGCAAGACATTAAGTCTCAATGCTTTTTGTAAATAGAAATAAAAAATCTTAAAATCAGCAACACATATAAATGTAAAATCATTATGGTACTTTTTCATACAAGTGAATTGATTTCCTGTTGTTTTGTTGTATACACAAGACTCTTTTGGATCCTATTGTGAGACTGAAGCGAAAGCATATTATAGTAATTACAAATATTGCTGATTTGAAGATATCAACTACGGTAATGAAGAAGTGTGAATAATTTTTACCTCATATTAAGTAGTTTTGGTATCAAATAACCACTTTATTTCTGGATCTACATGCATTTTAATGCTAAAAACCCAATAGTGTGCGTTTGTGAATAAGTCATTCCGCCAGTCGCATCACAAAATGTACCTTTAGCCAGGCACACCATTATAGTAAGGATGATGATAAGAGTAGAGACAGCATAGAGAGAGTGTCATATCACTGGCGTGCCCACAGCAAAGAGAGTGAATACAACCCAACTAAATAGACAAACACAAGCAGACATATTGAATACAGCTGACCAACTCCCAGTGGAATGGAGTATACATCCTGCTATGTAGGTACCAACAAAGCCCTGAACGGCGCCCATGGCATTCACAATACCTGTAAGGATGACACGGAGAGAAACAGGGAAGATGAGACAATAATAATATATCTGGAGATATCTGTAAAGCGCTTTGAGAGGGCCTTTGGTCCTCAAAAGTGCTATATAAGAACTAGCTATTATCATTATTACTGATAATAATAATAATAATAATAATAATAGTGAGCATTTACAATGTGCCATGTCTGTCATGATTATGATAATTATGATTTGTACTTGATTTGTTTATGATGCCAAGTAAATTGTATTGAATTCAATTGAATAATACCAATGCTAATTGGAACATAACTGTAATAACTACAATTATAGTTATCTACAAATAACAAATACCAGCATTTTAATACGCATGTATACACATACATGAAACACAAAGTTATTCAGCATCTACATATCAAACTTCAATAAAAACAAAAGCAACATCTTTAGATAGTCATTTAATCCTTGATAAGTACCTGCTTGGGATACACAATCATTATTGCAAATTCTCAAAAAATTGTTTCGGATTCATGTTTTACAATATGGTCATATATCATATTCAACATATGTACAACAAAATACAGTGGTACACATTCATATCAACAAATTGTACTAGTCTGCCTGCCATGGTGATACTATGAACATGTACTTACCAAAGACAGATCCTGCATGTTAGGTGCTATGTCCTGTGGGTTGGGTAGTATTATATCCTGCATCAAAAATTTATTAGCTTTTGATTGGTTGAGAGCTCGTCACATGACCAGAAATATTTCAGCTATTTTTAGGTTGCTCTGAAAAAGTACTATATAAGAGTACTATTTGGGAGTACCATTTGGGTGTTGAAAAAAATGTGATTTTTATATTTTTAAAAAATATTTTTTTAAAATCAATTCTTAATTTATTGAAAACAAAATATTTTTTTGACAAAAATGGACATTTTTTTTAAAATCTGAATTTTAATTTTTTTTACCCAAAAATTGTATTTTTAATTTTTTTTTTTTTAAATAAATTTTTGATGCAGGATATAAAACAAATATACCATGCCTTCTATTCTATTTGAGGTACTGGTTAAAATATAGGCCTCTGTGACTCCAAAAGAACCATTTGCTTCGGTGCTGCGCCCCTCAGCAAATAGTACTATTGGAGTCACCTCTTGCGCATAGTTTTAACCAGAACCTCTCAAGACAGTGTATTTTTGTATACTATGTACTTACCAAAGACAGATCTTGCATGTTTAGGTGCTATGTACTTACCAAACACAGATCCAGCATGTTTAGGTGCTATGTCCTGTGTGTTGGGTGTTACTATGTACAGTACTTACCAAACACAGATCCAGCATGTTTAGGTGCTATGTCCTGTATGTTGGGTGGTACTACGTACTTACCAAACACAGATCCAGCATGTGAAGGTGCTATGTCCTGTACGTTGAGTGGTACTATGTACTTACCAAACACAGATCCAGCATGTTTAGGTGCTACGTCCTGTACGTTGGGTGCTGTACTGCTATTTGAAAGCGAGGAAGACATTACAGCTATCATCATCAACATTAAAGATGCATGATAACTATCTGACCGTCCAACACATATCAATGATAACGCCATTATCCACATGGATAACGTCTGCAATGAAAGAAGTCACATAGATCCAAACAGATGCACAAAAACTGAGACAGATCTTAACCCACTTACTACTGAATTCTTTCATTCCCATAGGCTTAATACAAGGCTCACCCTGTTCCCATAGGCTTAATACAAGGCCCACCCTGTTCCCATTGCCAATGGGCTATTAGAAATCACTCAAACTTTCCCTGTAAATGGTATACATTTTGCTGCAACCTGTTCCACCCTGATAACATGTTAGTTCAAAAAGGAATGGGAAATGAGAAAACAGATCAGAGAAGGTTTGACTAATATCCAATGAAAGATATGAATACCAATACCTACATGTATATAATAATAGGTGTGGGGAATATCAGAATAAAGAAAAAAGAAGAAGAAAATTAGGGTAGCAACAAGGAAACCAACGAACCAAGAGTACTATAATATCAATGAAATGCACATTACGCTACTTTAAGCCTGTCAAATTTCCTGCTGATCCACCTAAATTACCTCCGGGATGCTGGGACAGTATTTAAAGATACTTTGTCCCTTTTGCAGCCAACCTCAAATTCTGTAGAACTTTGCAGGAATATTATGAATATGTTATGTATGTCCTATCTGTGAAATTTAAACGTTAGCAAATTATGCAAGGAAACCCGTGTACTTGCTAGAATTCACTGTCAGACACTATTGTCAGTATTGAGTGACTGACTGGCTTTTTTTCTTCTTTGGTAATAACATATATAATATGAGCTGTTAAAGATTTGTCTACATCAATAACCAACTTCTTGTAATGGCCAAAATCAAACTGATTGAATCTTTGCGCAGCATAAAATGTACGACCATGCGTTAAAATGGTCTGAAAATCAAGACTATTACTTATTGGCTCTATAGCTCCTAAGTCGATTTGACAACTAATAGTCGTTATTTCCCCCTTAAAGACATTTTCAACCCCCCTATTTTTAAGGGGAACTCTAAATTAGTATTATCTTTCAAGTGCCATTGGAATTTAACCTTTTCATTTTTGGCCTGCAAAAAAAATTGTTTTTCTTCCCTAGACCATCCCCCTTGAGTAAATTTAAAAAAAAATGATTTGGGGGAAAACAAAATAGCATTTAACAACATTCCCCCCTTTTGAGTAAGAAAATTGGAGAAAAATAGGGAAAAATCAGGAAAATCGGGAAGCAAATTAAAAAATCCCCCAAAATTGGGGGGTAATTTTTTTTTTTAAATAAAAAAAAAATCAGGAAACTGATTTAAATCTGGTAATTATCGAAAAAAATTGGGGGGTAATTTTTTTTTACAAATAAAAACAAGGGAAACGCTCTCGGCGGTCTCGCCTGCATAACGCAATTCAATATGATAAACCAGAACGTCAATGACGTAGCGCTCATCCACATCTCACAACAACAAATATCGTAAATTTTATGTGGTACACTTTTGAACTGGTCAAAAAATAGAAATTTGATGCCCTGGAAGGGACATAATTTCATTTCATTTGCATAAAGTACCATAAATAATCAATGGAGCAAAATCTCACAATTCTGTGTAGAAGTTTATTGTTCCAAATTTAGCTCTACCAGATAAGGCAAAATCGGTGAAGAAATGAGGGAAAAGAAGCAATTTTTGTTATTTTTGGAATAAATTTGCATAAATTACCATAATTAATTAATGGAGAACAATTTCAAAATTCTGTGTAGAAGTTTAGTGTACCAAAGTTAGCTCTACGATATAAAGCAAACCAAATCAAAATCGGTCGAGAAATGAAGGATGAATGAATGAAGAAGCCTTTTTTGTGATTTCGAATAAATTTGCATAAATTAGCATAGATAATGAATTTCACGATTCTGTGTAGAAATTTTAAATCCCCTCCTAGCCCTATCATATGAAACAATCAGAATCAAAATCGGTTGAAAAATAACGAAGAAGAAGCATTTTGAAAATCTTAATGTTGATGCCACAACAAAGTCTAAGTTTGTTGACCTTAAATGGCCTTTGACCTTAACTTAGTGACCTGAAATTCTACTCACATGATTGGGGAGACTTGATAACCCTATTGTCCAAGTTTCATTGACTAAGAACTTATACTTTCAAAATTATATCAAAAATTCAAAAACTTAACCTTAGGTTAAGTTTTCGATGATGATGCTACAACATAGTCCAAGTCTGTTGACCTGAAATGACCTTTGACCTTGACTTTGTGATCTGAAATTCTAATCACATGATTGGGGATACTTGATTACCCTAAAGTCAAAGTTTCATTGACTAAGAACTTATACTTTAAAAATTATACCAAAAATTCAAAAACTTAACCTTAGGTTAAGTTTTTGATGTTGACGCCGTCGCCGTCGCCGTCGCCGTCGCCATCGCCGCCGCCGTCACCGGAAAAGCGGCGCCTATGTCTCGCTTTTTGCTACGCAGGCGAGACAAAAAATCAGGAAACCGATTTAAATCTTTTAAATAAAAAAAAATTGGGGGGTAATTTTTTTTTTTTAAATAAAAAAAAAAATCAGGAAACCGATTTAAATCTTTTAAATAAAAAAAAATTGGGGGGTAATTTTTTTTTTTTAAATAAAAAAAAAAATCAGGAAACCGATTTAAATCTGGTAATTATCAGGCCTGGTGATGAAACACCATTCGGTTGGAAAAACTGGTCAGTGTACTTACCACTGCATTATGTACAATGATTGTTCTGAAGAATTTCTTAAACCCATTGAAACCTGATGGTGTCTGTATTGAGCCTATGGCAATGAGGTAATTCCGTAGTCAACCAGTTTAGAAATGGTTGTATGGATGGGATGATAGACGACTCTGTTGTAAAACTGATAGTTGTACTTACCAAATACAGATCCTGCATGTCTAGGTGCTATGTCCTGTGCATTAGGAGGAATACTGCTATGGCATAAAGCTTGAGCCATCACTCCTAGGCTCATTAGTACAAGGGATACATAGTAGCGGTTAGTTAGACCCATACACACCAAGGATAATGCCATTCCAAACATGGATAAACTCTGAAATAAAACAAGTCACGTAACTATACAAACAAAACAATGTTCAAGGGAATCCAACTTGTGGACAGGTCACAGGGAATGAAAAATTCACCTAAAAATTTGTCCATACTGGACACGCTAAACATGTTTGGGCTTTTTTTAAGAAAAGAAAAATGGTGCAGCAAAGTGTGTGATAAAACACATAGGAACTGAGGACCTTAAGCATTGTCAATAACATGTGTGATTACACATAAGGACTGAGGACCTTAAGCACCACAATAACATGTGTTTAGAAGCCCCCCCTCGACATTTTTCGCGATAATTTTTTAACGCAAGAAAATCTTGCACTGAAATTTTGCGACTTTTTTCTTTCGAGCCTTGCGCATCTTTTGAAAGAAATTTTTCGAAAATCGGACCTACCATAGGGACTGAGGACCTTAAGCACCGTCAATAACATGTGTGATTACACATAGGGACTGAGGACCTCAAAAACCGTCAATAACATGTGTGATTACACATAGGGACTGAGGACCTCAAGCACCGTCAATAACATGTGTGATTACACATAGGAACTGAGGACCTCAAGCACCGTCAATAACATGTGTGATTACACATAGGGACTGAGGACCTCAAAAACCGTCAATAACATGTGTGATTACACATAGGGACTGAGGACCTCAAGCACCATCAATAACATGTGTGATTACACATAGGGACTGAGGACCTTAAGCACCGTCAATAACATGTGTGATTACACATAGGGACTGAGGACCTCAAGCACCGTCAATAACATGTGTGATTACACATAGGAACTGAGGACCTCAAGCACCGTCAATAACATGTGTGATTACACATAGGGACTGAGGACCTCAAGAACCGTCAATAACATGTGTGATTACACATAGGGACTGAGGACCTCAAGCACCGTCAATAACATGTGTGATTACACATAGGGACTTAGGACCTCAAGCACCGTCAATAACATGTGTGATTACACATAGGGACTGAGGACCTCAAGCACTGTCAATAACATGTGTGATTACACATAGGGACTGAGGACCTCAAGCACCGTCAATAACCTGTATGATTACACATAGGGACTGAGGACCTTAAGCACTGTCAATAACATGTATGATTACACAAAAATGATCAAAAATTAGGCTTAGTATTAATAAATTGAAAGTTAACATGCACCATTTTAAATCTCCTAAACATGTGACTTGTTTTATTTCATACATGAAGCATGCTAGGAATGGCATTATGTATCATGTTCTTGCTCGCTTACAAATAGCAGTATACCACCCATTACAATTTCATGACCATTACCTTCAGAAAGTCTGTCAATGGTATTAAAATGTGTGTTACAGAAGTCTTGTTAGTTGTAAAACATGTGGGTAATACTTACCAAGGATAAGATCCAGCATATTAAGTCACAATCTTGGTCATTTGTTATCATCTAGTTGTACTTACCAAACACAGATCGTCTATATTTATGTGCTACTAATATTAGTTCTCCTCACAAAATACAGATCTAGTATATTTAGTTACTGTAACCAGAGTCTACATGCATGTTTTGGGCATTCAATGAAAAGTATACCTACCAAATACAGATCCAGTATATTTAGTTAATTAGAGTGTACATGTATGTTTTGGGCATTCAATGAAAAGTATACCTATCAAATACAGATCCAGTTTTGGGCATTCAATGAAAAATATACCTACCAAATACAGATCCAGTATATTTAGTTAATTAGAGTGTACATGCATGTTTTGGGCATTCAATGAAAAGTATACCTACCAAATACAGATCCAGTATATTTAGTTAACTTAGAGTGTACATGTATGTTTTGGGCATGCTAAATTTTTGGCACTCAGTGGTAACATTCACTTACCAAATACAGATCCAGCATGTTTAGGTGCGATATCTTGGGCATTTGGTGGAATACTGCTATTACTTAATGATTGTGACATTACAGCGATGACCAATAGAACCAGAGATGAGTGATAACTATCTGTTAGTCCCACGCTTAGCAATGAAAATGCCATTCCAAACATACTTAACGTCTGAAATAAAATAAAACACACCATAGGAAATTCAAACAGACGCACATCAAAATGTTAATGGACCCTACATTAAAATGTATTATTTGTCTAATTTTCCCCTCATACGTTTATTTCTTTCTTTTTCCAAAGTAGACCAACTGCCTAAGGAAAAGTGCATATATATGGTTCCTGTACTAAAGCCCAGGGGTTGATAGAATTCAGTAGTCAATGTGATACTTTCTTACTTTATCAAATTTCAAATTTCAAATTTCAAATTTATTCATGTTTCCAACAAAACATTACAAATCAATTATAAGCATTTAAAACAAATTTAAGAAATACATGTTAGAAATCTTCTTTACTACAGGAGAGAGGATAGAAGTGGATTAGTGTCTTGGCTCCTATTTAAAATGCTATGCTGCTATTATGAGTTTTCTTAAAATAAAGCCAAATACATCTACAGAAGTCATGTCATCACTTATTTATTTATTTATTTTTTATATTTAGACATGGTGACTCATTATCACCAATAATGGTGGTCTTCCATTGATTCCCTGTTAAACATAATGAGGTACATTATAGTTTAACAAATATATATATGATAATAATATTAATAACAAAATCTTGAACATAAATTCATAACAGCAATAAACAATAAGTAAGAACATGTATAAAAATATATACAAAGTATTTGGTATCCTTTAGAATCTTTAGAGATGGATATGAGCACTTTACAAATATTGTCATTATTATCGTTATATTCAACTCGAGTCAAAACATAGTTCAGAGTAAGTAAACTTACATGCATGATTTTTCTTGAGATTCCTACAGGCACTTTATGAGCGATGAGCGAGTCACCGAGACATCCACCTGCTATAGAGGCAGGTATGGCTGCTAACCATGGAAGAACATTATACACCCAGCCCTGTAGGGAGATAGAAAACAAAACACACAGCTATCAGTGTCAGCGCTCTAGAGAAATGCCCTGGCAATATTTTCTTTGGGCTTGATTTCAACAAACATATTGGCCCAAATTCACAAAGGAGGTTTGTCGGCAAACCTTGGTCTTTGTGCGTCATATGACACGTTTTGACGTCAAAGCGTGTCATATGACGTACATAAACCAAGGTTTTTCGACAAACCTCCTTTGTGAATTCGGGCCAAAAGGTTTGTGTTTTGGATGTGTGTTTTAGTGTTTGTGATTGAGGTTGGGATCAAGTTATTAAGATTAGGGATGGGATGGAATTTTTGGTTAAGATCTATGGGTTTGGATTGAAGTTAAAGTTAATAAAGGTTCGGATTAGTCAAAGTGTAAGGTTGATTGTTAAGTTAGGAATTTAATTATTACAGGAAGTTTACAGCAGAGAAATGTTCACCAAAGCATGTGCCACATAACAATGAGAATCAGCTGCAATAGCACAGATAAATGTTTCACAGATAGCGATGGAAGCAGGTAGATGGAAAATATTTTTGTATGTTTATTAATAAGAGAAACTCATGCATAAGGGATAATCATGGAAGAACCCATAACAATCACAGCAATGATTTCAAAATGCATGCAGAGATTTACCCTTCCATTACATGTCACAAGATGGATTCAGCATTTTGTGATTTGTGCAATTATCTGCAATAACATGATTAATATGATGGCTTTTAAGATTTGTAAGATTATTTTCAGCTTCTTGTGAGCTTTTTCTTAATGTATGGTTGCAATGTTCTTGATCTCATTGTCTAACCACTACAACTGCTATAGAGCCAGCTACAACAAAAACATTGTACCAAGCATCCTTAGGATCTCTAATCTGTATGAAGATGCTTGCATCTTTACAGCAAGCAAACGCTTTCAATACATCATTTGTGCCCAAAAGAAGTGTGTGATATAACTCACTAAGTTAACCCCTTGAACACAAGAACTGGGAGATTCATATATCAAGCAGATCCACTTTTCTACCCACTACCCACAGGAAACTGAATGGTTCTATTATCAAGCATTGGTGAGTGGGTCATCAATGATTCAATCATACCTTGCTCTCTGGGAAGACCTCTTTGAAATATGTAGGCATCCAAGACAGGAGGAGCCACATCGAAAAATTGAGAGCATTGTGACCTACTAGAATACCCCTGATTGCAGGATAGGGGGTAGAACAGGTGCATGAAAGGGGAAAGAGGGTGGAGCAGGGGTGCATGAGGGAAAGGAGGGGTTAAACAGGTGCATGAGAGAGGAAGGAGGGGTGGAGCAGGGGTGCATGAGAGGGGCAAGAGGGTGAAGTAGTGAAGGGATTCCAGGAGTGGAGCAGATGGGTTAGCAAGATTGGCGATATATTTGTAAATGAATAGAAAGAATACACAAAACAGATGGGTTAGAGAATAGATAATAGGGGAACGTGAGATAAAACGAGAGCAAAGAGGGAAAAAAAAGTGAATGGACGAGAGGGAAGAGAAAAAGAAAAGTGAAAATCAAACGGATATATTGAGTCACAGACAGGACCAGAAAGTAGATGGTAAACCAATGTTAAGATTGAAAAGACCCATGGGGCCAGAAGAGGTGCATGGATAGACAGCAAGAAATTCAAAATAGATGTGAAAAATTGGGATTGAAAAACATGAAAAGTGCAAGATGATGATCGGGTGACAGAAGGATAGTCAAGAAGAAAAGGGGAAACGAAGCAGAAAGAAAAAAAAGCTCACTTCACATGTCATAAAAACCACTTTAAGTCTCCCATTATAACACTCATAAAACATGAATTCAATTCATGACTGAGATACAGGTAGCCAGAGGCTCTGGTAAGGAACACTATGCAGGTCCAATCCTCAAGTTTTGTCTAAGATTTCAGGAAACATTTGCACGGGTTCTTGTGAGGAATTTGTCACTATTTTGGTATTTACCCAATAACAAAATGTTATCAATCACCAAGAGTGGCTTTCTATTGTGTTAAGTAATGCAATGCTTCCTCCCTCCTCTGATTGACCCATGTAAAGGTAAAGTCATCATCTTGCATTTCCAACACTCAAAATTTTCTCTGAGAGACTTTCATAAAAAATTGAAATTTCAAACTTTCAAGGCTAAACTAATGTCCTTTGGCAAGTCATTGATCTACATTTGCCACTCTCCACCCAGGTGAAGTAAATTGGGACTGGTATGAAATAATTCCTTGAATGCTGTGAGCACCGACATCGGTAGCCTAGCAGAGCCGGGGTAATATTGGAGCGCTTTGAGCACCCTGCAGGGTGGATATGTGCACTATATAAATATCCAATATTATTATTATTATTATTAAACTTTTTGGATAGATACATTGATTGGATTGTGTGTTAGCTGTGTTCATTACCAGCAGAGCCCATGGCTACCTGTACAAACAAATCGATTACTCACCTTAGACTCTGGATAAACCTCTTTAAAGAATGTTGGCATCCAATTTATTATAATAAAGTATGAAAATATGACGCACAAGTGACTAATGGCCATAGCCCTGAGAAGGGAAGGGAGAGAAAGAATAAAAGCAAAGGAAAACGGTTGGTTCCTTGTACTTTAATACCCTTTCCTTTATTCTCATGAATTCAATTCAACTTCCAAGTTAATATCATGCTATAGAATATAAATTATATACACATGTTAACAACACTTCTTTACACAGGTGCTGGTAAAGGTGAAAAGTAATTTTGTGAGTTTTTTTTTAATTCTCTTTAATTCCATGTAAAAGAACACAGTACGGTGAAACCTGTCTGTAACCACCACCCAAGGGAGACAAGAAAAGTGACCTTTATTGGCAGGTGGTCTTTAGGTACAGGTTTCTTTAGCACATGTTCCAAAAAGAAACCATTTTCAAGGGAAACAAAATATGTGGTCTTTCTATACAGGTGACTGTTAAAGCAGGTTTGACTGTACTATCAATGTTCCATTAAATTGTTCTTGAACTACATTCATATTTCAGATACGACTAAAAAATAGTTCACTTCAGAGTCTTTTAGAGCTGTATTCTAATGTCACATCTGTTTAGTCCCATATACCTATAAGTGTGTAAAGGATATTTAGTAATTTTCTAAATTTTCGGTAAGAGAAATCGATTTGTATATATTTATAAAAAAAGCAGAACCTCATATTATTGTTTTTCATGATTACTGTACATCATACTTGACAATTCCAAACAAGTTGTAAATTGTTTCTATTAGACAGAAATAGCATGACTTGTCATAACCCATTTCGTACTGGAACTGGGTGGTTCTCTTATAAAACCTATGGCAATTACATACATCTTGTGTTCAATGGGTTAGGTGACACACATTATCAGGCCTAAAAAAAAAGAAGTTGTATTGCCCTTTGCGACCTACCCCAAAATCTTGAAATCTACGGTCGCCTTTTTTAAAAAGTTTTTTTTTTACCGTTATTAAGAAGAAAAAATGTATTTAAGCATTCAAAACTAAAAATATATAAGCCCAAAGAGGGAGTTTAAAAATATAAAGAAATTCTGACCAACTGATCCATGTTTTAGCACCTTAAGGACAAAACAACATCTTTTTCAAAAAGGCCTAATAGAAACACGGCACCATGTTAAAAAAGAGAAGATATTTCTGAACTCACCAAAAAGGTTTTTTAGTTAGGAGCTTCAAGACCGGCAGGCTTTTCTTTTCTTCATCATCCTTCCTCGTTCCTGCTCTACCATTTTGGAATGAGAAGAATGTTTTCCTCCTCTGTTTCCTGGAGAAAGACTGGATGATAGTTGCTATGACGATAGAGATGGTGCCAAAGAAGTAGAAGACATAATGCCAATTGGAATGATCCATGATGATAGACCCTATTGCACCAGTAAGGAGTGTCCTGCATTCAAGATATAAGAAACAAAGATTTATTGTCTTTCATGTTTTAAATGTATAAAGTTCAATTACCGTATTTGCCGGCGTAAAGGCCGCAGTATTTTTGGAAGAGAAAATATCAAAAAGTCGGGGTGCGGCGTATACGCCGAAACAGTAAAAATCGCAAGTCAAAACAGCACGTCCATTATTTGTAGGCAACTTCATACAAAAAAATATATTAACAAAATTGACTTGAAAACACATCGGACAAGATCTAGTCTGAACTCACGTCAGCAGCAAATTTGAAGAAGTTATCTTTTTAATCATTGTGCAACCAAAGAAATAAGAAGAAAACTGACCAGAAACTCGTACTAAAAATCGTACTTGTAAAAATGTCCTTGGCTTTAGACAGCGCATGGCCCGGTAACCAAAATCATACCTCGCTCACACACTCTGTGGTGGGGAGCTACCGGGCTGGGAGTTGCAACAAATCCAACGCAGCATCCGAGATTCACAGCGCTGCAGCGCGCAATCGTCGGTGTTCTTAACTTTTCAGTAAGATAATTCTGAATTATAATTGAGACTATCTAATTAATTAAAGCGACAAACTAACCTCGGTAGATCTCTAATAACAATACAAAAGCTTGTTTATTTTCTCCATTTGGCGGTACGATAGAGGTAACACCGGATAACATTATGGCCACAGCTTGGTTATGGCAGGCCATTCAAGTTTCTGTATGCATGCGAAGCGCCCTCTAGTGTCCAATGAATGTGCTAATCTGCCTAAATTGATGAAGATTTGCTAAATTACGATCATTTTTTAGGTAAACTTCCTGTAAATTTATAAAATGATTGATAATTTTGGTATTAGTTTGTAGGAAAAATAGAGTTCTACAAGAAAATTATGATTATTTTCTTTGGTCCGTTCTTTTTTTTCTTTTTTTTTCCTCTCTACGAAATGTCAAAGTTGGGGGTGCGGCCTATGCGCGGTGCGGCCTTTACGCCGGCAAATACGGTATTAACGTGCAAACCTACACCTAAAAAGCGTTGCTCTCAAGTAGGTTTGTTTTTTACATTTCCTGTACCCAAATCATTTTGCATTACAATGACCAAAAACAATGTCAAAGATATTTCAATTCCTCACTTCTGTTATATCATTACGTTTATTATTGTTTGTCATTGTTTATATTATGTGAAAAGAAATGAAAAATAAATTCGCTCTGTATAGAGCTACTACTACTACTATCCCTTCTGTACTACTAGTTGGAATGATAGGACATTGTTCAAGTTTTATGTGATATAGACAAGACTTTTATCATTGAAGTGTCCTATTCGTTAGATGAATTCCTCTTGTGTATTTGGAATGCAAAGAAAGAGAAAGAAAAAAAAGGGGAAGATAGAAAGAGAGAAAAGAGGAAATTGATCATGAAAAGAAGATAACGGTAGTAGGACCCCTCTTACACTGTCTCTCCATTCTATAATCGTGCTAAATGTGCATTTCATCCACCAGTAGGATCTGTGCCCACCCCTCCCCCCCTCAATATTCAACAGAAGTGCCCACTCAATGCCTGTACTCTTGCAATGCCACCGCATAGGCGTATGTATTTGATGACTCTGGCATTAATTTTGTTGCCATAAAACATACAGGAACAATCCTGGACTTTCCTACCTAATGTAATAACCTTTTTATACAAGTTGGGCACAAGCCTCACTCATTTAGTCCAGTGACAGGGTTTTGAACCCTGTACCTTGCGATTCAGAGTCTGGCAATGTCTCCACTAGACTAGACACCTCAACATCAAGATAGACTTACCCTAAGGAGCTAGCTGCAAAGACACATGACATGACATAAGCTCTCTTATCAGCAGTCACCTTCTGACTCAGTAGACTCGTCAAGGATGGGTAATGAACACCTGCAGCACAAAAACAATCACACAATTCACCTCTGTCAAAAATATCATGAAGAAAAATGTATCCGGCACCACCTTCAGTGGGTGGAAGCATAAAAAGAAATTTGAAAGGGTGAATGGGTGTCAAGCTGATGTGAATTGATAACTGCTATAGAGGGTGCCTTTGAGAGGCATATACACCTGCAATAACTTATATAGGTCACAGAGAAGCAGAGAGTGAGAGAGAGGGAGGGAGGGAGGGAGTGAGAGGGAGGGAGGGAGGGAGAGATAGTGTGTGAGTGAGTGTGTGTGTGTGTGTGAGAGAGAGAGAGAGAGAGAGAGAGAGAGAGAGAGAGAGACACTCTTGTTAAGTAGAACAGGAGCTCCCAAAAATCAAGGAAAATATAACTGAGTGGAAAAAGAACACCAAATGTTAAGTTATGTACACATGTATGATGTATGACATCAGGACAAGGACATCAACATTATTTCATTGTCTGATATGACAACTGCAGATATTTATATAGTAGCTGCATTAAATCTACAATTTTGATTCATATCTGATTAATAATAGAGATTTGTGGTTATCATTATCATGATTACAAATTGTTTTGTAAATCTCTAGGACTTGTTGTTACTACTAAAGTAAAACCTGTCTATAGCGACCTTCCAAGGGAAACACAAAATGTGGCCTTTATAGTAAGGCTGTGAAGGGTAGTCGAATGCTCGAGTACCCGCACGGTTGACAACTACTCGGGTACGATTTCTCGTACCCGAATATTCGGCCGCAATTTTTTTTTTTTTTTTTAAATTTTTTTTTTAAATGTCCAGGCCGACGCTTACCCGTGCCTGGGTGAGCGGCGGCCACTGGCATGGTGCCGTCGGTAAAAATGTTTCCCAACTCAAGCACTGTCAAACTCACCACTCAGAAACTGGGACCAAATGTCTGGATTTCTGCTTGGACTTGGAGGAAAATGGATTATTCTGCCATCCTTGGTTTTTAAAACAGCATTGTTCACTGTTATTATTATTATTAAATCGGCGCCTTCAACTGCAACTCAAAGTAAAATTGCATGCGTTTTCGGCGACAGAAATGGGATACTGCTCCAGTGGTATGTATTGTGGTGGCAAAAAAAAAAATAAAATAAAAAAACAAAAACAAAAAAAACAAACAAAAAAACAAAAACAAAAATTAAAAAAAACAAACAAAAAACATGGCGTCCGAATACTCGAGTATTCGCTTGTAAACATAGGAGTGTACTCGGGTACCTCATTACACTGTTGTGCACAGCCTTACTTTATAGACAGGTTCCTTTAGTACATGATTCAATGAGAAACCATTTTCAAGGGAAACAACAAATGTGGCCTTTGTAGACAGGTGGTCTTTGTAGACAGGTGGTCACTAAAGCAGATTTGACTGTACGCACCTTGTGTTAGTCCCATAAGGAATCTGAGAACAGTCATTGACATGATGGTGCCTGCCTTGGTCGTGAAGAGGTAGGGAACCAACGGAGTGACTAAGGTAACTACACCCCAGATAAACGCTGCTCGAATGATCACATAATCCCCTCCGATCCTATCGCTCATCATACCCCCTGGAATCTGAGCAATGGGATAGCCCCAGAAGAAGGAGCCAAGTACAAGTCCCTGCAAAAGTCATGAGAAGGACATTCCATGGTGAAAATAGGTAACTTTTAATATTCATTAAAACATGAAGTAAAAAATGACTTTTAAAAAAAGGGGGAAAAGGCGTAGATCAACAAGATATATATTCAGAATATCAGCCTCAAATCTTGCTTTTGTAGTAAGAGAATGTGTAAGTTTAAATCCTCTGTAAATGAAGATAAATGTGTAAGCGACTTGTGAGGAGACTACACACAATCACTCATACCCATTATCAAGCATGTGCAATTTTGTTCAATATTTTCCTTTATTCACTATATACATTGTATAGTATACCAGTATCACCCAACACATTCAGAGCAAAATCTGAACAGTAATAAATTAGTCTCCTTCAATTTCAGACCTTATAGGCACGATAGCTCAGTCGGTAGAGCAATGGTCCTCGTAATCTGGTGACCCGGGTTCGAAACCAAGTCGATGCGCTAGTGCCCTTTGGTAAGGCATTAATCCTCATTACCAGGTCCCTCGGAGAGGACCTTAAGCCGTTGGCTGTCTGGTTGCTTATTTACAAGCATTTATGCTTTCTTAGCAGTCAGGTAAAATAACAACCACCGCCACCACCACCACCCAGACAGGAGAGTTTTTTTAAAGATTTTTTTAGGGGGGGGGGGGGCGGAATAGTTATGTGCGTATATGCCCCAATGCCATAGATTTTAAGATTAGCAATGCAATCCAAAATATGTGTGAACCCTTTTTTGGAAAGTTTGTCAGAGACTTTTTTAAAGGCATGCACAGCACCTCAACCCCCCTTCCCTACAGACAAAAAATTGATACTTACAGTATCTGTTTTATCCCAGCCGAACTCCTTGGATAGATTCACAGCTACCAGAGGTACGATGGTCCGAGCTGAGAATAGAACTGAAGTCATCACAAACAACAGAACCGTCCATAATCTTCTCTCTGAGCTATAGAAACAAGCACACAAATACACACAAAAAAAGTAATAATGTCAATGAGCACAGAAAAAAAAGCTGCATAAACAGCCATACACCAATATCAATAGCAAGCCCAGTGTGAAGCGGATAAAACATCATTCAAATGTAATTGAACAAAAATAGGCTACAGTACTTTTGTCAATTTTTCGGGATTTCTTTTTTTTTTGGTGGTCTCTACTGTAAAAGCAACTAAAATTTGAACTTTTGTATGAAGATCAAATCAAATGCAGTCTTCAAAAGGAGATTCAAATCACAAATAGTGCTGTCTATGAATGGTGTTACTTTCTATTGTTGACTTTAGAAGTTTTGTTTTGCTTTGGTTTCATTCTTTGTATTTAGGCCTTTAAAGATACTATGTCCCTTTTGCAGCTAACATCAAATTCTGTAAAACTGTGCAGGAATTATGAAAATGTCTTGTATGTCCTATTTGTGAAATATAAATGTTAGCAGTGTCCTAGTATTCAAATTATGCAAGGAAACCTGTAACTTTCTAGACTTCCCTGTCAGACACTATTGAGTGACTGACTCACATCTTTTTTTCATACATAAAGGGTCATTGTACAGGAGCATAATTTGTCTACATCAATAGCCCACTTCTTGTAAAGGCCTAAATTAAACTGATTGAATCTTTGCGCAGCACAAAATGTACGGCCCATCAATACAAGGGTCTAAAAATCAAACTATTTCTAAATGGACTGCAATAACTAAAGTAAAGTTGATTCAACAACTAATGTCGTGCAGCGGTTTGCCGTGAAAACCTGAGAGAAAGTGTAGTCTATATTATAATGTCTTTGTTTTTAAGAAAAATACACCAAAAAATATAAGAAAATTGACACAAAGGGGTAAAAAAAATGACGACTTTTAGATCTAATCATGACCATTAATTGAACAATTGATGATTTAGTTGATTTTTTGGCATGTTTTGGTAGGGTATCTCGGCCCGGTCGCTACGCCGAAGTTACGGGTAAAAATGGATACAAAAGTACATTAGCGCCACTTTTGTTTTCATAAGAGCTTTTCTTATGATCCACACACAAAACCAATGGACCAAATCCCACGTCATGCACGTTGCCGTTGGGACGTTGCGTTGACGGTGGTTTTTTTGTTCTTTTTTATGCCACAGTCTATCATAAATCGGCCATGCGCCTCAACTGATTAATATTTCAAAAATGAAATACAATGATCTGTTCTTGAATTTGCAAAATAAAAGGATTACAAAACGTGCTAGGTCTGGCACTTGGCCTTGTCAGTGTCGGCGCGCGCGCGGCGATCGAGTAGCTGCTGGGCACAACGGCTCAAACCTCCCCGGCCTGGCCGGGCTGAGAGCAGGGGTCAGAGCCGCCGTCACTTGGTTGTTGCTTGGTTGTGTGCTCCGTCACGTTCATTGCATTTACACATCAACTTACTCGTTCCATTGCGATGACTTTGAATACGGGTCACTCTTGGAATCTAGTATGATTTTCAAAGGCGGTGGCGATTTAGGAGATATCATGGTTTTGCTGTCATCCCGTTTCTAATCTCGTTCTTTCGCCTGTAGTTGATGTTTATCGGCATCTGTTAGTCGTTGTATTATTGTAGGCCTAAATCTACGGTAGGCAATCTTTTGGAACCTGTAGAGGTTTGCGCACGTCACTACGTAAAGGAAATGTTGACGCCCCCTAATGAATATGCATTATGCTTGTGCCGACACGGCGTGTGTACTGTCCGTACACGCTGTGCATGCATATCTATCTAGGCTATGACAGCACATCTGCACTACTGATTCAAGCAAGAGAATATATGTATATTTCACTACACTTTTATTGTTTTGAATACATTAATTGCATCTATACTTGCATCAATTAAGTTAGTGCATTTCTAAATTTGTATTGTACTGTTGTGACTTCATACTTGCATCAATATAAGTTGTTGCATCTAACCTGTTCCAAACTGCATTTTGCGTGTCCCAAATTTATATCTTTGTCATGGTTGCATTGTTTGCATCAATCAAGTAATTGCATTGTACATGTTCCAAGCTGCATTCTACGTGTTTCAAAATTTCTATCTTTCGGTAATTGTATTGTTTTGACTACACACTCCAATTATTTAAGTTATTGCATTGTACATGTTCCAAGCTGCATTCTACGTGTACCAAAATTTCTATCTTTGGGTAATTGTGTTGTTTTGCCTACACACTCCAATCATATCCAAATTATTGCATTGTACATGTTCCAAGCTGCATTCTACGTGTTCCAAATTTTCTATCTTTGGGTAATTGTATTGTTTTGCCTACACACTCCATCATTCAAATTATTGCATTGTACATGTTCCAAGCTGCATTCTACGTGTTCCAAATATATCTTTGGGTAATTGTATTATTTTGACTACACACTCCCATTATTTAAGTTATTGCATTGTATATGTTCCAAGCTGCATTCTACGTGTACCAAAATTTCTATCTTTGGGTAATTGTATTGTTTTGCCTACACACTCCCATCATCCAAATTATTGCATTGTACATGTTCCAAGCTGCATTCTACGTGTTCCAAATATATCTTTAAGTAATTGTATTATTTTGACTACACACTCCCATTATTTAAGTTATTGCATTGTATATGTTCCAAGCTGCATTCTACGTGTACCAAAATTTCTATCTTTGGGTAATTGTATTGTTTTGACTTCACACTCCCATTATTTAAGTTATTGCATTGTATATGTTCCAAGCTGCATTCTACGTGTTCCAAAATTTCTATCTTTGGGTAATTGTATTGTTTTGCCTACACACTCCCATCATCCAAATTATTGCATTGTACATGTTTCAAGCTGCATTCTACGTGTTCCAAAATTTCTATCTTTAGGGGATAATATTGTTTTGCCTACACACTCCCATCATTCAAATTTTTGCATTGTACATGTTCCAAGCTGCATTCTACGTGTTCCAAAATTTCTATCTTTGGGTAATTGTATTGTTTTGCCTACACACTCCCATTATTTAAGCTATTGCATTGTATATGTTCCAAGCTGCATTCTACGTGTTCCAAAATTTCTATCTTTGGGTAATTGTATTGTTTTGCCTACACACTCCCATCATCCAAATTATTGCATTGTACATGTTTCAAGCTGCATTCTACGTGTTCCAAAATTTCTATCTTTAGGGGATAATATTGTTTTGCCTACACACTCCCATCATTCAAATTTTTGCATTGTACATGTTCCAAGCTGCATTCTACGTGTTCCAAAATTTCTATCTTTGGGTAATTGTATTGTTTTGCCTACACACTCCCATTATTTAAGCTATTGCATTGTATATGTTCCAAGCTGCATTCTACGTGTTCCAAAATTTCTATCTTTGGGTAATTGTATTGTTTTGACTTCACACTCCCATTATTCAAATTATTGCATTGTACATGTTCCAAGCTGCATTCTACGTGTTCCAAAATTTCTATCTTTGGGTAATTGGGTAATCTTTGGGTAATTTTCTGGTTTCACAATTCGGCTAGTGAGCGAAGCGAGCGAGCAAAAATTTGAGCATAATATGTATTTTGTGAAAGTATTATTTGTCACCAAAATAAATGAGAAAATATATTTTTTTTAAATCATATTCGGGCAGCTCGCTGTTCCCCCCCCCCATTACTGGCGAAGCGCATAAGCTTTGATGCTTCATTAAATTGTGAGAGAAAGAAGATGATTCGTTGTTCCATTCTCGATTCTTAATCCTTGTTTGAATTCAGTTTTCTTTAAATTATTAGAGAAAGAAGACGATTCTTTGTATACCATTCTCGTCTCTTAATCCTTGTTGAATTTAGCTTTCCCCCTTCAGCACGAGGCGTGGAAGCTTTTACGTTTTATTAAATTATTAGAGAAAGAAGATGATTCGTTGTTCCATTCTCGACTCTTAATCCTTGTTTGAATTTATTTTTCATAAAATTATTAGAGAAAAAGGGTCTAGCGACGCCCCTGTGCGTACCCTAGATAACACTGAGTGGGTGGGGAAGAGAAAAGTCGGGTGAGAAAGGCGAAAAGAAAAGGAAATGGCGCTAAGTGACAGTAACGACGAATAAGGGAAAACTGTAATCCGGAGATTTGGGGGTCATTCCTGAAGGCTTGGCAAACGTTATTGAATAGAGGGGGCCGGGCCGGCCGCATAAAATCTCGAGCCGCGGATTCAAAGTTAAACATTAAAAACAGCCCCTGCGCTACAAAGGTCATCACTCTTTAGTGAGAAATTTGAAAAGGGCACAATATGTTGGATCTCTTTTAAATAGAAGCTATACACTCAACAGTCAGATTTTAAATAAACGGTAGGGCGCTTCACAACTCTTATTTTGCCCTTCATTTGGATTCAGCTCACAACCAACTCGCTTGTGTTTGTATTTGAACTCATGTTGGTAGTAATCATGGACAGGGGCGGCAATCCTGGATCCGATACGGGGACACGTCCCCCAGGAAATTTAGTAATATAGCTAGAAAGAAATCTAGCGGAAAGAACGTACATATTGAGCTTAGGAATTTTCTAGAATACATGATTTCAGCATTCAACATTGCAAAATCTCGCTTGGTCGCTATACACCCCGGTCCTCGCCCGATAACACAAAACTATGATATGACGCTCCCGGGCCGTGATTTATCCATGGTTGGTGTAATAGATCTGTTTTTTCTTTTATTTCTACTAACCTAATTATGTGCTATCACAATCATGATTGTTTTACTTTCCCTTTAAAGCAGGCGCGTAGCTAGGGGCGGTAGGGGTAGTAAGAGGACATAGGACGAAAAAGTAGCAGACAAAGAAACATTTTTGGAAATTCTGACAAGTCGAGAACGGTACAACGAATCGTCTTCTTTCTCTAATAATAAATGAAATGTCAAAGCTTCCGCGCTTCGCTCGCTCGGGGGCAACTGAATTCAGGCAAGGATTGAGAGTCGAGAATGAAACAACGAATCGTCTTCTTTCACTAATAATTTAATGAAAACTAAATTCAAACAAGGATTAAGAGTCGAGAATGGAACAACGAATCATCGTCTTTCTCTAATAATTTAATAAAACGTCAAAGCTTCCACGCCTCGTGCTGAAGGGGGAAAGCTGAATTGAAACAAGGATTAAGAGACGAGAATGGAACAAAGAATCGTTTTCTTTCTCTCATAATTTAATGAAGCGTCAGAAGTTTACGCGCGGGCGGGGAAAATTGAATTAAGACAAGGATTGAGAGTCGAGAATGGAACAACGAATCATCTTCTATCTCTAATAATTTAATAAAACTACAAAGCTTATGCGCTTCGCCAGTAATGGGAGGGGGGAACAGCGAGCTGCCCTAATATGATTTTTTTTTTTATCTTTTCTCATTTATTTTGGTGACAAATAACACTTTCACAAAATACAATTTATGCTCAAATTTTTGCTCGCTCTCTAGCCGAATTGTGAAACCAGAAAATTATTTTTTCGTGCAAGGGGCTATAGCCCCCCCCCCCCGATGTTCCGGTATCGTGCTTCCATTATGACCTTGTCAGTATTGGTATATTGAGTTGGACAAAAACGGTCTGCGCAATTTTTAAATTTCCGCCCCCCCCCCCCCCCCCAACCCCCTATTGGAAAATCCTGGATCCGCGCCTGAGTGATGTGTAAACAAAACAATACAATTACCCAAAGATAGAAATTTTGGAACACGTAGAATGCAGCTTGGAACATGTACAATGCAATAATTTGAATGATGGGAGTGTGTAGGCAAAACAATACAATTACCCAAAGATAGAAATTTTGGAACACGTAGAATGCAGCTTGGAACATGTACAATGCAATAATTTGAATGATGGGAGTGTGTAGGCAAAACAATACAATTACCCAAAGATAGAAAATTTGGAACACGTAGAATGCAGCTTGGAACATGTACAATGCAATAATTTGAATGATGGGAGTGTGTAGGCAAAACAATACAATTACCCAAAGATAGAAAATTTGGAACACATAGAATGCAGCTTGGAACATGTACAATGCAATAATTTGGATGATGAGAGTGTGTAGGCAAAACAATACAATTACCCAAAGATAGAAATTTTGGTACACGTAGAATGCAGCTTGGAACATATACAATGCAATAACTTAAATAATGGGAGTGTGTAGTCAAAATAATACAATTACCCAAAGATATATTTGGAACACGTAGAATGCAGCTTGAAACATGTACAATGCAATAATTTGAATGATGGGAGTGTGTAGGCAAAACAATACAATTACCCAAAGATAGAACATTTGGAACACGTAGAATGCAGCTTGGAACATGTACAATGCAATAATTTGAATGATGGGAGTGTGTAGGCAAAACAATACAATTACCCAAAGATAGAAAATTTGGAACACATAGAATGCAGCTTGGAACATGTACAATGCAATAATTTGGATGATGAGAGTGTGTAGGCAAAACAATACAATTACCCAAAGATAGAAATTTTGGTACACGTAGAATGCAGCTTGGAACATATACAATGCAATAACTTAAATAATGGGAGTGTGTAGTCAAAATAATACAATTACCCAAAGATATATTTGGAACACGTAGAATGCAGCTTGGAACATGTACAATGCAATAATTTGAATGATGGGAGTGTGTAGGC